CGTCAAGATAACGGAAGACGTGTTCAGATATAGGAGTAGCTTATGCCAAGAACGCCTTACATTTGTATTCTTTCTAGCATGCGTTCCACCCTCTAGTATAGCAATCTCGTCTTTCAGCTTTTGATGTTCTTGTTGCAAAACCGTTATCATGTGATTTTGTTTTTTCAGCTGCCTAGCTTTTTCTTCAAGTAAGGAGCGTAGCTCCAACTGCAGGGAGCGATGCTGGAAAATTGCGGAATAGTTCGAAGTTTTCAAATAAAAAATAAGGATTTTTGATCTACTTGTCGTTGCAGTCTTTCCAATTCGGCTGCAGCCAATTGATCCAACTCATTCTGGTCCGTCATAATGGCTTGAGGGGTAGTTAAATATTTTAAAATTTTTCTCAACTATAAAACCTAATCAGCTTTTACTTCTGTATATACATATGCATATTTTGCTCTCGAATGTTTATCTTCCATAAATATATAGTTCTTTTGGTTGTTAGGGTAACAAAGGACCGCGTAACGATGCCAAGCAACAATGGCAACAGGTCTCAGTCGTGTGGATAAATAGTTTAGCATGCAGTTGGCAAGCAATTCCAAAAGACGAAATTCGTATCATGAAATTCAAATTTATTGTTGTAAAGCCCATTGTTCCATCGTCTCCGGTAATCTCCGCCACAAAGGAATAAGAGGCATAAGTCTTTGGCAATCCAAGGGCGGCTCCGCTAGCTTGGCCATGTCTTTTGAATGAACACCGATGCTCCAGTTCTGAAAGTATTAAACTCGGAACCCGCTGGTAGCAACGGAAGAGGGAGAGCCCTACTGCGACGGTAATACCAAGTGGCCTTTTCAACTGGCGTCCTTTGGACAAGAAACGCCTGGCGTGCTTTGTTGAACTCGGCCAAAGTCGGTTAGGCAGTTACAGCGCCAAATAAGAAGAACAATCCGAGGTACGCCTCATCATATGTTGCGAGAATCCACACCTCTACGCTATACAGATAGAGGGGAACAGTGTGATTTTCTTTAATCATGACAGAGTCTTACTAAGTACTTAAATACTTAAGAAGTTCAAGGTAACAGGTGGTCAAAGAAGACTCTTTGATTCCAAGTAGTCAAAGGTCCATCCTACATCAAAGTTATAGCTATCAACAGTGTCTCCTTTGATGAAAGGAGTTCATTAGTTTGGCATTCTTCGTTTACCACCAGCGTTCTGGTAGTTGAAAGACATTAGATCTCTCAAAGCTTTCATTGGTGCTAGTACGAATAGTTATGGAATAAAGCACTAATTAGGTGGCGCTCTCACCTTTGCGGTACAAAGTTTCGTTAGCCCTATAAATTAGAAGTAAGGGCTAAGTAAAGTAAGAAGTAAGGGGTAAGTAAAAAAAGCCATGTCGAGTCAAATAAGGAAGTAAAACGGCATCGCTCAATGAGGCGTCGTCAAGGACAACTTTTAACGGTTACCTCGCCGAACTTCCCCGCTTCTTGACTGCAAGGAGCCTAATCCTCTCCCCTATGAAATCCTCGGCAACCCTTATCACCTCCTCGGCGAAAGAGGTCAAAGGTGTACATGATGGAGTTCGCCCATCTAAACGGGGTTAGGTCACCGGAACAACAGCTCTTGGTTGGTCATTCTGGTCGTAGAACCGGCTGTCGTTCATATATAAGGGCGCGGTCCAGACATACAACCACTTGACCCGACGACGTACCGACGAGCAATCTACGACATTCATAGGGAGTCGATCAACTGCAAATAGAGACCCAGTAAGGTCTGGACACTGCATCCTCAACAACTACTTGTTCAGACTCGACCCCAACATCTCCAATGAGTGTCCGGCATGTGGAGACTCCCCGTATGACACCAACCACCTCTTCACATGCCAGCTCAATCCCACTCAACTAACACCCCTCTCCCTTTGGTCCGACCCTATTGAAACAGTCCGTTTCCTGGGCCTACCGTTAGTTGAACCGAAATAGGCGGGACTTAGTATTGTCGCTACAACAATAACCACAGGTCAGACTACAGCTGGGAATTCACGTCGATGACGAACCAATTCCGACGGCGAATAACCCAAAAATACTCCGAGCTCTGTTCTCGGCACACAACCAAAACCGTGGGGACACCGGGGACTAGCAGGACGCAGTAGATGAAGCTACATACCTTCCAAAATACAACACTCCGGACAGCTATGGGATGCCTTCTGATGACGCCAGAGACCTCCTACATGACGAGACGCAAATGCTCCCAGTCAAGGAGGACAACACATTGATATGTAAGCAGTTCGAAGTAGGGTGTCACAGATGCGGGCAACCGAACAGACACCTGATTGTTGCAGCGTTTAGATTCTTAATGCAAAAATGGAGTTGCATTTAGTTGCATTGATGTAGGTGACGAATTTTGTATGGATAAATGTACATTTAGAGAAGCATTTAGAGCTAAATGCGCTAAATGTGCTTTTACGCGTAAGCATAAACAGCCTATAAAGCTATTCATAGTCGCCTTAGTTTCGACTTTTCTGGCTAAGTACCAACTTAAAATTTAGTTTAGGCTGCAGCTGCAACTAATTCGTAACAAGGAAGAAGTATTTTATCAAATTAAGGGAAAACAGACGAAATATGTAAAAATTAAGTTGGTAGAGGGTGATTTTGATAATATTGAATAATCTCCAATTAAAATTTACAAAGATCGATCCATTTTATTCGGAAGATGAAATTAAATGCGTATTACAATTCGAATAAAGCTAAATCACAAATTTATAATTGGAATAATTTAGATAAATTCTCAAATAATAAGGCAGTTTCACGCTAGTTCTTTTAAAGTAAATTTGTGCATAACATTTAGATATCTACTATTTGTATGTTTCACAGCATGCTTTCGATAAACATCGACTTCACATCACTGCGGTTGTTCGGGTTATTTCACACAATTAACACGAAAATTATATCTTTTTCTTTTGCATAATCATGCAATGAAAATAAAAATTACATAAACGGATGATCTAACTTGACATTATATAATAAAAATGTAATTTTTCTAAAATATTGGCTGCATTTCTTTATTCTGAACGTTTGGAATAAACTTTTTAGTTTACTTATTCTTTAGAACGTTCCTGATGATATGTTAACGTATATTTCAAAGGCATTCTGTTTAATCCGGCTGTGAAATGGGATTATCCGGAATGTATAAAGAAACGCAGCCATTGTTACGATTATCCTCGAAGCTCGTATCGCTGGATTGTTAAATAAATGCTCACTTCTCTGCTCACTTTACTTGTAGCTTGCTGTCTTGTAACTCATAACTCACTTCGCTGTCTGGTGGCGCTTATATACCTGCGCTCGTACGCATGGCAACTCTCGAACGTTCTGAAGTTCATCGCTCATTCTCTTTCTGTCGCTGTTCGCAGTGTTCATCCAACTTGACGTTTCTCTTTGTGGAACATTCTACGTCATTCCTCGAACATTCTGCCTATTTCTCGTTGTTCGCTTTGTGTTGCCGCAGTATTCGCCACAATATCGTAAAGAAAAATCGATACATTTTCACACTCATTTTGCTATATCGTAAACTAAGTCGAAACTACTTAGTAGAAGTCTGAAATGCGACTATGAATAGAGGTAAATTTTAAGTTGGTACTTAAATTTAAGTTGCAACTTTGTTAGTTTCGACTTAGTTGCTGGACTATGAATTAGCGCCATTAAATTTAAATGAAAACTTCATTAAAATTTATTCTTCAAAACATTTTCAATAAAAAAGTCGATGACCCTGTATAATCCACCAGCTGTTGTAAATATAACTCGGGAAACAGCTGTTCAAATTCATTCGATATGTCAAAATTTCATCCGCCTTTCCGCAAAGAGGTTATGTAAATTTTTAATAACAAATTGCGGAAAAAAATTATTAAGAGAATCATACAAATAAATTAAAAATGGTGTCACAAACCCTAGCACTCTTTGTAAGATCACGTGGACCAGATGAATTCTGGCGTAAAAGAAGAATCTTTAAGCTTGCGGCTGTAAGTCTTGAATTCTGTAGCTTTCCCATATCTACTATTCGTAAAAAACTAATATGTTTAATATATCCTTCACACGATAGCACTTTCGTGGACGTAAACGTAATTGCTACTCTATAGCCGTACGAAATGTGCACCGTGCCTTGGTATACGCCACAAAGGGGCGCAAATTGAAAAAGTTGGATATGGCGGAGGTGGGTAAAACGCATATTTCATCTTTAAAACTATTAATATTTTTGTAAACTAAATACCCATATTGCAGCTTTGGTCCAAACGTGTTGAGGCCGGCTGTGAACAATATGGCATTACATTGGAGACATTCAAAGAAACATTGGCCCGCAACAACATTTTATTAAACAAGTAATATTCCCTACTATTGGCTGAAGCAGTATTAAAAGCAACTGTGTAAATTTATTTAATATCTTTCAGGAAAGCTTTGGCTGACCTTGCAATTTGGGAACCCAGGTCTTTCGAAGCATTGGTGAAATTATCAAGAGAGCGCGCGGTTGTGGAATCCCTGCCGGGCCTCAACGAGCGTTCGGTTATGAATCAAGTTTATGGCCTGGCAAACTTGAAACTAGATAAGTAAATAGATTTAGCAGATTTACAACTTCCACCAAGCTTTAAAATAGAAATAAAAAAAATTTCAGAAACAAAGCGTAAAACCGTTTTATTTTCCTTTTAATTTTAACAAACGTATTTACTTAGTGCGCGGACAAGTGAAACAAACATCTGTAAACTAGTCCACTGCAGTAAATGGAAATTACAAGCTAAGGAACAAACTACTTAATTGACCGTCTTATCGCTACCATCAGACGGCCTTACACTATCCACATATGAGGCGTGAGGATTCAACAATTGAATAAAAAAAAAAGTAAAAAAGTTATTCCAACTTCGCCAAAATGTCTGATTCGCGGAAAAGAATGTATTCCTTCTTGTCATCCAACTCTACCTTAGTGCCACCGTATTCGGGCAACAGCACACGGTCGCCTTCTTTAACGCCCACTGGGATATAGTTGCCACTTTGCTGTTTGAAAACAAGAAAACATGGTTGTTTTAACTTTTCTATCCTCGTTTAAAGTACAAAACTGCCTATCTACAAAATGCAAAACCGCGTATGTGAGGTTGCATAAATTATTTTTACTGTAAAACCACACTTATTCAAAAATGGTCCTCTTTTTTAATAAAGCAATCGAATTTTTGGCAAAAAATGTCAAGTACGTGGTTTTGCAGAACGACGATACGCGGTTTTGTACTTTAAATGACGATATACATGTGTATGTATGAAACTTATAGCGCATTAACTTACAGGATTTCTTGCACCAGGTCCAACAGCCACAACTGTGCCTTCCAATACCTTGCCAACCGATTTCTCCGGAAGCAAAATACCGCCCTTTGTGGCCGTCACAGCCTCGGCACGCTGAATCAGGATGCGGTCCAACATGGGCAAGATTTTCTTAATAGCTTGTGCCTGCAAAGAAATTAGTGAGTTTTTAGTAAGCAAATATTCTTTTCTTTGTGGTCTACAAAATGTATTGTAAATTTCGATTTGTTTCCATGTTACACAACAGCCATGTGAAATCAGCCGGACTGTGAAACTAGCTTGATGGCCGGCTGTAGAAACATCGAGAACGCATTTCAAGTACACTATAAATCTCACAATGTTCATTGAAAATGTTTAACTATTCACACTAACCATTATGTTTATTTATTTGCAATAACTTTTAAATGCAGCAATTAGTCTCAAAAACAGGAAAATATTCCTTTATTCGCTGGTTTTTTTAAATAAAAATCTTGCGCAGACACGTGCAGGACGTCTCAATTCGGCTAATCAGAATTTAATAATGAACGGATGAATTTTCTGTCTAAGTTATCGCGTTCCAACGATAACCCATAAATGTGCAGTAGATGAAACAGGGTTAACAACAGCTTTTTATTCGGGAGAAGTAGGGTTGTTCATGGAGATATCGCTTAAGTTTCGAATGGTATTTATGGTATCTATTACTACGTTTATACGTAAGCTATTTGCAAATAAAAATAATTTGCAAATACCTTACTCACTATTTATTCGATGGTGAAAAATTCTTTTTTTATATTGCCTGATTATAAAAAGGCCATAATATGTCCATCGAAAAGGAAAATAAAGTTAAAAATGGCAACGTCTTGATTATAAAAAGGCAATAAGATGACCATCGACACAGAAAATAAACCTAAAGGCCTCGCCAGATAGAAATTTTTTCTGCGTCACAGGGATGCTTTTGACTGACATCGAAGTTAACTCTGTGATTTTGAATAGAAGACGCCGCATTGGCAACACATGCATTGCTGCAACTGATAAAAGCTCTGATCCAATACTTTTCCTGAAAAAATCCTGTAAAACTGTCAAACAGCAAAATTACTCTCTGAAGTGAGAGTAAAAAGTGAGTAACAACAAAAAGTACGGGAACAAAAAACCCATATTTCATGTAGAAACGTCAACCAGTGGTTGCTTGACACTTTTCATGATTTTACCAGAAGAAAAAGTTCGGGGAAAATCTTGCAACTTCATTCTCTACACAACTCTCCAAAAGTCGCTCTCATTTACAGGATTTTGGACAATTTCGGAGTACGGGAACATTTTTCCTGCTACTTCGTGTAAAATCCTTATAAGTTCATGGAGTACTGGATCAGAGCTAATAATCGCCCAACTCTCAACTTTTGACGCGCGTGAATGCGGCAAAACAACAATGTAAGGAACGATTTCACACCAGCTGACGTTTGGCCAATCAAAATGAGCCGTTTTGTTTGCGGCAAAGTTTTCATTGTGCCGCCTCGCCATGTTATGTGCGTCTTGTCAGTCAAAATCATTCCTGTGACGCAGTAAAGAATTTCTATCTGGCGGGGCCTTTATAAACCTCAAACCCTAGTGTGGACAGCAATAGTTAGTGATGTGGTTAAGTTTGATTTGAGATGGTTAACTTTTTGAAGGGGGCATGTTATTATACATTCTGCAATATTTCAATGTGTTTTGATAAAGATGCACTAATTTAGTTTTATTAAAACGAAGTCAAATAAACTTTTTCCTTGTGCGTCTTGAAGAGCTGCTTCTTAAATATATGACTGCAAATTTCTGTTGACGGTAATTCCGCCAGCAGAAATTTGCAGCTCTCTCGGTGTTTTATGCTCTCTTTTTGGCTTTCTTCTGCAAATTTTTCGTTTTAAGAAACGCTTTCCAGCAGAATCCAGTAAAAATTTGTGATAATTATCCGTTAAGAAACAAAGCTAATATGAGCACTCATATGATACTCAGCTGTCTTGTAGGGTTGATACCAATGGTAAATCTTTGGAGATATTGCTGCAAGTATTGATTTATTAATGGACAAATTGTATGAACTTTTCTACTACCTTCTTTGAGGAAAATTTTCTACGAATCTGGCAGCACTTTCGATCAGCTGTTGTTTTGTTTATTTGGCCAGCCTTCAATTTTCGATTTCCATTTTTTTTTCAAAAAAATAAAAGTTTGACTGAAGAAAAGGAACTATCCTTAATATACGAATTGGCACAAATTGGGCAATTTAGGGATTTACGAAAAGCAAAAACCAACCATAGGTATTCGAAAGCACAAAATAACGTGGTAACAAAAAGTTAAGGAAGGTGGAGCCGTCGGCCAGACTGTCAATCGTAAAAAGAGTGTGTCATGAACACAGGGCAACGACCAACAACCGTGGACGCCAAATTGTGCCATGAAGGGCGTTTGAGTTTATATTGCTATCTAGGTACAGGTTTTGTTGTATTTATTGCAACAGCTCCACAAATCTACTATGACACCGTACCAGATGTTTGGGGTGCTATCATGTGGGGGCCGGTCTTATACTATGCGTTAATTAATATGGTTATTCGTTATTTATTGCGCGACAACGACTATCAGGTGAGTCATATAAAGTGTATATCATTTAAAGTGTAGTACAAACTTTACTAACTTGCAGATTGCGCTACGCTCTTCCTTCTTGGGGTTTGTTGAAGCGATCAGTGTGCTTATAGTACTATTTGCGCCTAATGATTTAAAACAGTTCGGCGTTTATGCATTCTTTATGGCATTTTTCCATTATTCAGAATTTCTAGCCATTGCGTGGTGTAATCCAACCAGCCTTTCGGTAGATTCATTTATATTGAATCACTCCATACACTATGCACTGGCAGCAGTGGCTAGTTGGTTCGAGTTCGGGCTAGAAGTATGGTTGCTGCCAAGTTTTAAAGGTTTCTATTACATTTGGCTAATTGGTGTGGTACTTTGCACAGTTGGCGAAATTATACGAAAAGTAGCTATGATAACTGCACGCAACAGTTTTACGCATTTGGTTGGTATAACTCGTCCTGTTAAATACAAGGCAGTGTCTACACACACGCGCCGCGGTAACTTTTACTGTAGATCCACGGAAAAATTACCGTAGATCCACGGTAAAAATTACCGTAGATCTACGGTAAAATTACGTGGATTATGTGTTGCCGGAGAAGTGGGACAAAACTTCTTTCGGCGTAAGTTTTACCGTGGATCTACGGTAATTTTTACCGTGGATCTACGGTAAAAGTTACCTTGGCGCGTGTAAGTAGACACTTCCTAAATACAAATGCTCATGCACATATTTTCACACCTTTCCCTTTATAGGTGCAATACGAAAAAGCTGATAATCATAAATTGATAACACACGGCATTTATGCGTATATGCGACACCCATCGTATGTTGGCTGGTTTTGGTGGTCTGTGGGCACACAAATAATACTGCTCAATCCGTTATGCATATTGATCTACACGATTGTCTCGTGGAAATTCTTCCACGATCGCATTTACATGGAGGAAATTACTTTACTGAATTTCTTTCGCTCAGATTATCATAAATATCAGCAAAATGTGCCCACTGGTTTGCCATGCATTAATGGATATTTGCTGGACTAGCTGCAACCAACTGCTGAAGCAAGTGAGCTGGAGTTGCAACCATGTGCTGTGCAAGTGAACACCATTTCTTAAAGTAAGCTTATCAAAGATGCACTTTAACAGTAATTACTAAGTGTGTATTAAAAAGTAGTAGACAACTATGTACGTATTTATTTGGGATTTTTTCGTTTTTAAGCAATAATCTATTGTAAATAGCATTTTCTAACAAAGCATATATACATATGTTTCAACTAAAAATAAGTTGTTGAGTTGCTTATTTAGTTAATAATGAATTTTAACAATATGTATCTACATAAGTCATATCGAGCAGGGACTAAAAATTAATTTAACTAACTCTATAAAAAATAAAATGTAAAACTTAAATGCCTATCTGTATTTTGATAGAAACTTTATTTCTCTCTCTCTGTATATGGCTCCCGGCATACTCCCGTTATGGTCCTTAAATTATTCGAGTCTGACGAGAATGATTGGCCAAGAACGATAGTAATCGGTATACGAGACGAGTAGTAGGTTCATGACTTATAAACCGAAATATTTATTTTGACGTGACGAGTTGCGCGTTCACGACTTGTACGATTCGAGAGCCCAGGATGGCGAAGTTCGCAGGCCGTGACCTCGTTCGAGAAACGAATAACGTAGTTGGCGTTTTGGAGCGTGTTGGTTGGTCTCCCAACCGGTCCGACCCGAGAATTTACCGGAACGTGACGAGCATATGACTGATATGCTACTCCGTCCTTGGTTGATGCAACTTTCGTGTATGTTCTGACCGCCGTACCCACGCTAGTGGACAAGTGACCACCACCAGACAGTAACACATAGCGGCAAGCGCATCCAATGTAGGCAAGTCCACATATTCCCACCCCCAAGATACAGTAATGGAGGCCTAGGGTTCATCTTACGCCACACTGTGCAGGATCTTCTAATCCAAGAAGATATTGGCGGCAGAGATACCATCCCAGAATGTCAGGAATTTTTAGCTATACGGTTACATACAGTGTTGCGCTATGAAAATGTCTCTGAGAGGTGAAAACCGAATCTTTCGGATAACTCGCGGAGATCCGCCCTAATTTCGTGACTGAAGCTGCTGCCCAGGACCATTCATGCCAAGGCAAATCCGGGAATCCCTGTATCAGTGATCATAAGTGTCTTAAGTGGAAGAGCGCCTGCAACTTCACCTCCGGCGAGAGTAGGCATTTTGTAAACCGTGAAGTCCCTGATCACAGCCTTAGCCTCGGAACTCGTTGGTCTCGATGAGCTACACATATAGATTAACTAACTAATTTCCTTAAAGTGTCCTTGGCCACTTTCATCGGGAAACCCCCAAACAAATGGACTTCTACCCCGCGACAGCTATTCTACCCCAGTAGAGAATACATACACATGTAGCCTTACGACTCCCGTACTTTACATTGCTACCCCACCCCCGTTACGCATCAACGTGACTTTGGTAGAGTCCCCAGTACAATCACAGCACCTAACGTCATAAAAACTCTCTATTAACTCACGACCTTAACCGAAACCGTCTCTGCGTGAGAAGCGTTTTAGTAATGTTTAGACTTGTCGAAAAGTCTAAGACATATTTCTTCCGCCGGGACGAAAAGAGTGGACGTCGAATTATCTGAGTGTTTGGCAGACATCAGCAGTCTTTCGAAACAAACTTCGAAGGTAAGATGAATTAAGCATAGAGCCCTTCAGGTTGGTGTTCTCTCCCACTACTTTTAAGCTATTTTATATCTCGAAGGTTCTTTATCCACTGGAGGGGTTTCACTGATTTCATATGCTGAGGACTGCTCGATATTGGTGTCAGGCTATGACATTCAGGAATTACTTTACTCATTTCTTCACTGTATGAATCCCATGCCCCTTCATTTAAAAAATAAATGGTCAACCCATTCAAAAAGGAAGTCAAATTGCATTTAGACGTCCTCGTCGACGGCACACCTAGTATAACGACGGCTATACTTTTGAGAGCCTCCGCTGCTTTGAAAGACCCGCTTAAAGACGTAATGCTTGACCCCGACATACCTTAGAAGGATTTCCACATGGCACCACCTCTCCATTTGCAGAGTTAAACCTTCATGGCTAACACCCTTTTCTCTCTGACTCGACACCTCGAAACAGTAAGTTTCTCGAGGCTACCGTTAGATGAGCTTGACAAGGATTGACTAGGCTGCCGAATTAGGCAGTATTCAGTAGAAAATCACTCTAAAATCCTCGGTCTGCTCTATATTGCGATTCGAAAAGCAAATCATTCGGATTCGAATACTTGGCACTATGAATTTGTATAAGTCCGTGTCGGCTTTCGAATCGCATCGAGTATCCAGTCGCAATACCGAGTAGAGCCCCTGGCTTTTAAGTTTGATCGTGTCCTTTCCTTATTGGTTCATGCAACAGCGATAGGAATCAAAATTTGGAAGCAGAAAAAAAGTCACCAAATTGCTTTCCGGCAGCAAGTGAAAAAAGACAGAGACCCAAATGAGTGTCCGACATGCGGATAGACACCGCACGACTCGAAACATCTCTTCGTTTGCCCGGAAAACCCGTCACAGCTAACGGCTTTGTCCCTGTGGAATGACCCCATTGAGGCTGCACGCTTGGCGCCCAGCGCACCAAGTCTCTACTTAATCTAAGGAGGCAGGACATTCGCATAGTGACTGCAGTTTTCACTGGATATTGTCTGATTGGATTACACGCAGCTAGACTGGGCGTACCCTGGAACGACTACTGCAGATGCTGTGTTGATGAAGACGAAGGGGAAACCATCCCACATCTTCTCTGCTATTGCCCGGCTCTGTCAAAACGGAGAGCAAAAGCTCTTGGGAGCTATTTCTTCGACGATCTCGATGACCGCAAAGCGGTGAACGTTAGAAGCCTATGCACTTTCTTGCTAAACACCAAGTGGTTTACAGGGAAACGGGGCTAGTTAAAAAACCCTCATGCGGTATCACAAATGATCCTGAGTCTAATTGAGTCCTACTTTGGACTGCCGCCCAACCCAACCTAACCTAACCTAGTCTAGAGCTAAAGCCCCAAGGAAACCCAAAAGTTTCAGCGGAGGCAGAGAGTAAATCTGCGTAGCCTATAGCCGAAGTTCCGCAAATGTTTCTGCATCGCATTACACGAGGTTCATAGAGGTTTCTGTTGTATCGCGGTAACGACAGGGGACACCTGAGCTGATGCCTTGGGTAGAGGCGATACGCAGTTTTCAGACGTCAAAAACACAGCTGCACTTGCACTACCCAGCAGTAAAGCGGGCTATGTAGGAAGCTGCCCTCCTCCAATATTCCTTTTATTATTCCTTCGTAACCACCTAAGCCATTTTGTTCGCATACAAAAAAAACCACGCCAGTCGTCCCCCATCTGCGCTAACTGAAAATGCCAAGTTCTTTTTCACCCGGTCTTCCATCGTAGACGAAATCTTCTTCTGCTACCATCAGCGGTTCGGAATTTGGTATCTTCCGATTGAGCAATAACACTACCTCCATCAGAATTGGGTAGGTCACCTCCGAGCAGTTCGATGCCAAAGGAGATTTCAGACAGCACCACTCGCTATCGTGAGAAACAATGTTTTACGCAGAAAAGTCATATTTGAAAACTGTGATAAATTAATCGGAATATTCAGAAATGTCCAAAGAACTCAAAACGTATTAGTACTTTCAATAATATCTGCTGAGGCACGTTCTAACAGTTATGAGTTAATAACTTCCTTAACAATTTTTTATGGAAATATTATAATAAATCTGGGTTGCTAAATTATCAACACCTTAATAACACGGCTTATTTTTCAAGAAATATTTTCTTCAAAAAGATATTACTAATTTGTAGGACCGAGTAGGATCTTCATTCCTTTACCAAAAACTAATGCAGAGGTCCATTTAAGGATCTACGAAAATAAAAGCCGCGCATACTCGCGCCATAAAGAGTGGCGGCCATTTTTATTTCACGAGACCAACACTAGCAGTTTTTTCAAATAACATAAAGTGTATTAAAATATTAAAAATGTATGCAATTTATTATATATTTAGCATCATATCATTTATAAGATGTGTCTTAACAAAGCTGAAGTAAATTTTCAAAAATCCAATAACGAATCCAAAATGGCGTTCAAGAATTATAAAAATTACTGAATTTTCATGAAATTCGGCATTTAGCGGTTCTTAAGTTCGCCCATTACAAATTTCAAACAAGTTTTTGAAAATTCATAATGCAAAATCCAATATGGCGTCCGAAATGTCCAAAAATTCATACCTGAAGAACTTTATTTAAAAATGAGAAAACTGAAGTTTTGGAAATGAATTTCGTATAAAATAAAAAAAATCTTTTAAAAACTGTTGGGGCCTAGATTAAATTGTTTGGGCTGAGCATATAGCAGACGGCCCCAACTATCCCAAATTTATAAATATAATTACTGTTATTATTTCATAATTTGATCATAAATTCATTTTAGATATGTTTCCTCATATGTAATAATTAAAATTTTGCTAAACAAACATTTTATATTACTCAACTGAAAATGACAGTTGATTGGTCAGTTGTCAAACGAAAAAGTTTGAATGTGATACATAACATGAGATCAGTGAGCCTTAAAACATAGTAGGTACGTTTAATTCGTGGGAAATTTTCCTTATTTTTAGAGAAATTGACAGTCCCTTCGACAGTCATAAACTCTTAAGGTTTTAATTTGACACGCAATTCGTGATTAGCATGTCTAAAAGCCTATTCAGTGGCATTTCGAAAAAGATTGTCTTATTTTTAGAAAAATTCATAGTTCATTCGACAGCTGTCAACTGTCAGGGTCTTAATTTGACACAAAATTCGTGATCAGCATGTCTGAAAACCTAATAAGTGTCATTTTTTTAAAAGACTGTCTTATTTTTAGAAAAATTCACAGTTCATTTGAAAGCTGTCAACCAACTGTCAAGGTTTTAATTTGACATGAAACTCGTGATCAGTATGTCAAAAAACGTAATCAGTGGTATTTTGAAAAATATTTTCTTAATTGTAGAGAAATTGGCAGTTGATTTAATAGCTCGCAACTGTCAAACTATAAATTTTATCGCACATTCGGATTTAGCATCACAACAATACTACGATCCCGCAGTTTTATTATAATCGTAACAGAGTTTTTAATTTTTCGCGTAAAACAGGGCTTCTCCGACCACTGTGCTCCGGTCCGGTTGATGCAGCAGGCTAAGTACCTACAGAGCCAAATCGCTAACACCTGCTCGACAAGTGGAAATTGCGCACACAACACCGCCCCCTGTTTGCCTGCCCAACTACCCAACTAGAAATAGAGTCACCAAGGGAGACTGCGCGCTCTTTGAGACTTTGGCAGCAGCGGCCAGATAGGGAAGATAATCAGTAGTGCTCGGAATGTCATGCATTAAAAAATTTAAAATATGCGCATATAATATGTACCAAAAAATTCAAAAATATGCGTTATAAACAAGTAAAATATGCAATTAAAGTTATTTTCCTAATATTTCATTGGTGGTACACGAATAAATAACAATTGTACTAGTATTTTAACAGGTAAAGAACAATGGTTCTAAAATACAATATATATTTATGTAGGTTTATAATCAAGCAGCTTGCTACAATCTTGTGTAAATAGGAACATTGACAGTTTAATAGTGGTTCAGCCGAATGTTTCGTTGGTTTAAGTGGATTGTCACCCTGGTGACAAGCAATTAGCAAGTGTGCCATTTTGATTACACAACTCGCACAACCTACAGCCATTTCGCGGCTTTTATGAATTTCAGTACGTACATAGTAAACATAGAGAGAGGGGCAGTTGCACTCTAAAATAAGCTGCTTGGCCTTTAAGTGATAATTTTCTTAAATTTTTGCGTGGGACACATACAGTGCGGAGTCGCACCCTGCTAGTTCGTCCGCTGCCTCGTTTCCATTAACGTACCTATGTCCCGGGACCCATATTAGGGTAATTTCAGATATTTAGATGAATATTTGGGAAACAATTATAGGTATTTTTTTTTCAAGAGATTTCGCACTAAATTTCAATGCTTGTAAATCAAAAAGACATAAAAGCAAGAATATGCCAAAACCATATGCATTTATTTTAAAATATACTAATATATGTGCAAAAAATATACAAAAACAGGTATTTTTGCAAAATATGCAAAACCATGCATTTACCGCAAAATATGCAAAAATATGCACTAACGATTGAGCGCCACCTTAAAGGAAATTTCATGATTCGTAAAGCTAACTTAACCATTTCCTTTTGAAGATGCCGTGTAAACACATGCATTTGCATGAGATTCCGAGCCCTAATGATAAGTAACACCAAATTTGTTAGAAAATGCTGCCAGAACAATAAAAACACACATTAAAATGCATGCAACAATCTAGAAAAAACAGGAACAGTCTAGAAAAAATGGCAGCCCCAAATAAATTTATTTCTGTACGATCCACCTTACCGATGAAGATTCTCCTGTGTATGCACGAGTTTTAATTTCGTGTTCGAATAGAACGCTAACAATGTATTTTTACAAAAATCATAGTTTTTACTTTATTAAATATTTTTGCATTAACATGGCTTTTTGTCTTTCAAACGTGTTTGCATTTTTACATATGTATTTTACACAGTAACTATATAGTAGATATTTATGTATGTATATTGGCAATAAATTAAAAAATACAAAATAGGTTTTTTTTTATAACTTAAAGCTAAATTAGCATAGAATGTATTTTGCATTAGTGCGGAAATTAGAATTACATATAACAGAAAATAAAATTTAACAAATCAAACGAATTTAAATAAAATGGCAAATTAAAACGATTAAAATTTCGAATGAAACCTTTGCTTTGTGCGTGGAAAGTTTTAAAGCTTTCAGTGCCAAGCGATCTACTAACAAACACATTAATAAATATCTAAATGCATTTGTAGTGAGTGATTATAGTTATTAATTTGGGCGCTACTAACATTTTTTTTTGTGGCTGAAGGTGCTTTTCGTAAAAGTTGCAAGTTACTGTTTTTGAAAAAGAGAAATTTCTAAAATATTTGTACGCCTATGTGCGCGCATTTACTTAAACACAAGACAAAATGCATTAACACTGAATGTAATATGTAATCTAAAAAGCTTCAAAATGCAATTTACAATTAGAATGACAAAATAGATTTGACTAAAATACATTAAATGCGTTTTTAAGTTGTTTTTTTTTTACTGCTGACGATCTTTTTGTGTTTTGTTGTGTTTTTTTTTTATGATATTGTGTTTTTGTTTTTTGTAAACTCTAATATGCTTATTTTGGAGTTATGCTATATTGTGTAACTACGGTGGTTTAATGCTAACATTTTTTCAAATCTCAACATTTTATTTTCAAACAAAATTTTCTTGCCAACAAACTTCTTACATACAACTAGCTTCCTTGACACACATAATAAACGCGCACGCACTTTTGCTGCCTTAATGTACTGCAGTGTCACCGTAATTCTGCTTACATAACTTCTTAATTAACCTAACTCAGAATAGGCCTTACAATTTTACAACATTCAAGTGTATTTTAAACATTTTATGTTTTTGCTTATTTTGTTATTATTTAAGCAATTTAGCTTTTTTTTTGCTTTAGGATTATTTATTCCTTGACCTTCAGTCTTCTCTGTTAGTTCTATTGCAGCGTATGTTAATGCATATTACTTACATTAACATTCGCTGACTTATTCATGCTAACTTCTCTGTTAGTTGCATTTTCATTTGTTTTCAGCGCTGTTAGCTACATTTACGCATGCCAACTGCACTGTTAACTTCTTAGCTGTTTAACTGTCAGCATAGATAAGTTTTCAGGGCAACATTTTTGCCTTTTTAATTGCAGAATTAAATTAAATTATTAAAACAAAAATATCTTAAAAATTACTTAGATAGGGGCCAAGATTTTTATATTTTACTCGGCTGTTCATGTTCATTTCGAAACAAGAGATGGGTGGAGAGTGTTTTTATAATATCTACGCAGATGTTAACAAAAAATTTAATTTTATAAATTGAGATTTTTAAAATTTTTCACAATTGAATTTTTTTCAAGAATTAAAATTTTTTTTTTATTTTAAATTCAGTATTTGCTCTTCAAAATTTAAAATTTTGGTTTTATGTGCTGTCTACTAAAAGTGCATTCGATTAAAATAACTATAAAACTGCAATGAAGCAAAATTGAGTATACGAAGTTTTACAATAATTTAAAACAACACAAAAAATAATAACAATTTTGACGCACAAATATAATTATACAGTTTATGCGCATAATCTACTACAAAAACAAAAATTACATAATTATATAATTATATAAATGTAAATTCCCCTTTGTAGAATTGTTAAACGCAGCGAAGGAGTTAATTTTTTTTTTAATTTTTGCTTCCATAAATTAGCTTCCTTTTCAGACGCATGCATCCATACTTAATTTTAGACTTAATCGTTAAGAGACTGTATGTATGTAAGTATGTATGTAAATATATATGCATATGTATGATCATTCAACATGCGGTGTATGTGTGTGAATGTGTTTTGCTTGTGTATTGATAGTAACTAAAGTTATGCAATACTTTTCAATAAACAAAAAAAAAAAACAATAATTTATGTTGAAAAGCTTTAATACGTTCAACTCCTTCTCCCTCTTCTTCTTCAGCCACTTCGCGATCAACTGCTCCGCGAAATGCTTCTCTTCTCACACCACAATCCATCTCCCTGCATGCATCCCTGTTTTTTCGGTTTTCCTTTAGTAGGTGTTAGCGTTGAATCTCGACTTTGCCTTAAACAGCACCATTCACTGCTGCTGCTTGTGACGTCGTGCTCGCATTCTTGCCCTCCAATTCGGCTTGTATCTCATTCAAACTCTTGCCCTTTGTCTCTGGCACAATAAAGAATACAAAGAAAACTCCAATAATGGTAATCGCCGAGAAGAGCCAGAAGGTTTGTCCTTTGCCCAATGAGTCACTTAGATTCACAAATGATTTTGTTACAAGGAAAGCCAAAGCCCAATTAGTTGTACCGGCAATGGAACCAGCCACTCCCTTAATATCGGCCGCAAATACTTCACCCATCATCAACCATGGTACTGGTCCGAAGCCGAGTGAGAAGAGTACAATAAAGACGCACAAGCTGACGACAGGCAACCAACCGAGCGTAGCCACTGAATTGGCATCTTGATCCTGCATGTAAAAGTAGATACCCATGGAAATGGTAGCGAGTGCCATAATAAGGCCTGAGGTGAGCAACAATAGACGACGTCCCAGCTTGTCAACAACAATTGTGGATACAAAAGTGGCGATGAATTGCATTATGCCGACGACAATGGTTGAGAGATTAGCATCGATGCCGGTTTGCGCATCCTATGGGGGAGAGGAAATAGAAGAAAGAGTTATTGAATTGAAGTAAAAAATATGTGAAAAAGGTGTTTTGATAAGTGTAAGTATGAGGAAAGTGGTGGAGAGCTGAGAGGTGGCGGGATCAGTACTTTAACTTAAAATTAAGCTCAAGCTCTGTTTAAGTCAAATTCATAAGATTCTACAGACCTTTGTTGATAGTTAGTGATGCTTAAGGCTCAAGTGGTTGGACTTAAACTTTGTATATGACCTAATTATTATACCTATTTCCAAACACTTTTCGGGTTCAACGAGATCGGCTATCTTGCTACAGGTTTGATTAAGTTGAGCAGTATGTCTTTAGAATTGAGGGATTTTGGCACAACTTACCGTCATCCCTTAGAGCTTTTCCAATGAAATCGTACCTAGATCTGGGGACGCATACTGGGCTGGTCAGAAACAGGTAGCAGTAGAAAGTCTTGGAAAATAACTTTTGACATCAATACCGCCCAAAATGCGGGCTGGTTCATATAATTTTGCAAACCGTAGCCGTAAGAGTCAAATAATATGTAGACTATAGAGCTCACTTGCTTGTAATGCACTGCAATCAGATAAAATAATGATATAGAAACTTTCTGCGTAGCATTTACTCTGATCACAGCAGGTTTTTACGTCCTTCGCCTTCAGCGGATCTACTGGACTTGAAATGTAGCACGCCTCTATGGTCTTACTTGGTCCGCGAACCTTGTCTACGGAAAACTTTGTGTACTGAGAGTGTTTCGCAAGCCTTCTTTCTGAACAAAACGCAACGTTTCTCAACTCCCAATGATCAGCTCGCCTGAAGAACAACATACTAACCTAATACGCGCTCGCAAAGGAGCCGGTTTCATGAACCAAAAATTCCGCATAGTCCGTACTTTTAAATAACACAACTTTTAATGGAAAATATTTGCAAGCGTCAATAGAGTCTGTGGGTTTCTAGGGATCTCATGAGACACATGTGTGGTCTCGTTAAAAAATAAATCCCTCGTCCACTCTCTCAACTTCACTTTCTTACATTGCTTTTTCCACTTTTGAATACTCACCTCGAAAATTTTGGCCGAGTAGAAAATGACAGCGTTAATACCACATAATTGCTGGAAGAACATAAGGCCCAAACTGATGAGCAAAGCCTTTCGTGTGACGGGACGTGACAGACCCACCCACCAGGAAACCTGATTCTCATTAATCTTTAGCTGGGTTTCGCGTAATTCCTCAATTTCAGCCTTATATTCATAGTCCTTGCCACGTAGCCATTGAATGGATTTGATAGCACCTTCATCCTTATTTTTAATAACCTACACATAAAAAAAGAAACATTGTATTAGCTAAATAGGGGTCGTTCAAAAATTCAACATTATTTTTTAACTGTCTAACTAGGAATTAAAGTTACTCACCAAATATGTGGGTGATTCCGGCATGAATACGAAAATGACACCAAATACCAATGGTATCACACCGCATACGATGCTCATCCAAAACACACTCAATCCCGCACCGATGGCATACACAAACAATATACCCGCCGTTATCATAAGTTGAAAGAAGCTACCAAGCGTGCCACGTATCTCCTTCTGCGCTATCTCACCCGTATACATAGGTGCGGCTACACAGAATGCACCACC